CTGTAAAAAAAAATTAGGGATTGTAAATTTATTTTTTTTTATATTTTTTGGATTTGACCCGTTTTCTTTGGGTGTTTAGTTATATCCAGGTATTAAAAATAAACATTAAACAAAAATGAGTTAGAACAGGGAGTTATAAGATTTGAGATTGAGTTTGAGGGACATACGAGACGATTTCTCCTATATTTTATCCTCTCCAATTAAAAACCCAAACTTTGAACCCTAAAATTCTAAGAATCGACGACTTCCACTTTCTTTTCTTCCGCTTAGGTTGATTGGAAGAACCCTAAAACCCCAAACTTGTCTCACTGTAAGTAAGCTTCTTCGATTTTACTCTTAGTGTATACAATCGCCGGTCAAAGGGATAAATTCAACAAATAAAATCGCGAGGAAATGGAGGATTCGAAGGTTGAAGTGATGAGCGATATTCACCTCGGTTGCCCACCCGCCATTAACGCACCATTTCTTTCTCGTTTCACCTTCTCCTTTCCACTCGGTGGTACCTCTTTCTTCCATTCGAATGATAATTGTATTGGTGTTGACAAAGACGGTGATCTTCTGCTTCCTAGACGCCCTAGTAAGTCTCTCTTGAGATGATTCCCTCTCCTTACTCATTACTTAGTTATGAGAGGGAATTAACCTCTTGATTTCTTTGCAGCCCGATCAGCTCACTCGTTTACTATCACTATCCAGCATTGTATCACTTCCAAGCTCCGGGATGTTGGTTTGCAGGTAAGTTTGTCTCTCGCTTGTTCTCGTTCCCGTGCATGCATCCACGCTGCTTCTGATGACTACCTCTGCATCTTCAGGTATGGAAAGCAGAGCTTGTCTTATCAGAATTTGTGTTGCATAACATGTGCACATCATCTGACCTCAATGGCATTGTGTGCCTCGAACTCGGTGCTGGAACAGGTTATATTTCACTCAAGGCATCATTAATTGCTATACATCTTGTGACCAAATGCCTCTTTAGTGAACTTCTTATCTTTGGATTGCTTTCTCCATTTCCAGGCCTGCTTGGTATATTGCTTGCAAGGGTGGCTAAGGCAGTTTTCCTCACCGGTGCAGCTTCCTCACTGATCTCTTTTTCACTTACTTTTTTGTTTTCCAAACTGAAGCTTTTCTGTTTTCGTCTTTCTTCTCTTGTGCAATAGATTATGGAGACGATATTCTTGGCAACTGTGTTCAGAACGTGGAAATGAATTCATCCTTGTTTAACCCTCAAGCTGTGGTAAATGTTCGTGAGCTCAACTGGATGAGCAAATGGCCTACCGAAGAAAGCCATGGTGACTGCAGGCATCCACAAAAGTAATGAATTATGTTCTCTTCATCTGATATATATTATGACAGTGTGATTCCTTCACATAGCTGCGTTTATGTTCAGGTATTGTTGGAGCTTGCAGGACTTTGAACTAGTCAAAAGTGCAAGCTTCATTTTTGCAGCAGATGTGATCTATAGCGATGATCTAACAATTGCGCTGTTCAGCATGTTAAAGCGATTGATGTCATTCGGTTGTGAAAAGGTAAGAACTAAATGGCCTTGTGCTTGTTCACTTTAAAGGCTTAAAGCAACCACATGCATAGCATAGTGACAGAGAGAGAGAGACTTGTGAAAACAACAGGTACTATATTTGGGATTGGAGAAACGATACAACTTCAGCCTTGATGATCTCGATGTTGTTGCCAATGGCTACGCCTGCTTTAGAAGCTACATCAAAGAAGATGGACTTTGTAAGATGTACCCTCTTTGCTTCCAACGTTAAAGAGTTAAGAGATGTGTTTAATTAAATTGTTGGGTATGGAACAGGTGAGAAAGGGGAGAGGAGTTTTGTGGGGAAGCGCATCGACGTCACACAGATACCTCAGTACGTGAAGGGTTATGATAGAGGAGAGGATGTTGAGTTATGGGAGATCAAATATGTACGTTCTTAACACTCCAAACTTCCAAACATATTGCATTTCATTTGCTTTTAAGAACAGTTTCAAAGATTTAACAACTAACAGGTCCTCATTACACTCAATATAATAATTATAGAAGAGAAGAACAGAAAACAAGACCTTCAAATTAAAAAAAAACCACCACAAGGGACAATGAAAAGATGCTTCCTAAAAGATTGTTATCGAATGGAAGTATTAACTATAGAATCTTTGAGGAAATAATAGCGAAACCAGAAAAAGAGGTTCCACTAGGTAACTAAAAATGGTAGAAACAAAATCGATACAACACCATCTCTCTCTCTTTAGAGATTTATTTAGGCACTGCCTTGGGTGGGATTCTCTGTCTCCATTGGTTCGTCGGAGGCCGGTGGCTGTGGCTCGCTCTTGCCCTCATCCGCTGGCTCACCTCCCTTGGCTGGCGGTGCCTCTGCTTTAGCTGGCTTTGGCTTGGTCATTACAGGCCTGCAAAACCTGCCAAACATCCAAAGCTGGTTCAGTATCTAATACCAAATTAGCATTTCTCTTACAAGGGAGAAACATATGCTTACTTGTCCAATGCCTCCGCCTTGCTTCTAATGTCAGCGGACAAGAGGGCCGGTGTCGCGTACTTGGGAAGAGTGTCTTGCTGCTGCTTCTTCCCCCTCAGCCATGCTTCTGCTTCCACACACTCATTCAGAACCTTCATTATTGCACAACAACAAAAACACAGTTAAAAAATTCTTATCATGCCTGCAATATTCACGAGAATCATAGGCATTTGTTCTGCTATAGACATGAGCTGAATTATTACCTTCTGCTTCTCTGCCAATTCAATGTGGTCAAACTTGGGGTCGTTAGACACAGCTGCCTCTCTGTAGCTGTTAATACAGTAACCAAGCTGATCAATGACCGATCCTCTTTCCATTGACTCCTTGTAACGCTCTTCAACAGGGTCGCCCACCTGCAAAAGACCAAATCCCCAACCTCTGTTTAAACCGATTTATTGAGAACAAAATTACTTAACACAATAAAGTGTCATCATATGCAGTACCTTCTTCAGCTCCTCGAGCTTTGCAACATAAACACCTTTAGTCTCATCTTCCCCATCTTCATACAACCAATCCTCTACTTCCTGCAGATTCGCCAAGAATGCTTCCCTCTCTGAATCGGTGATATATTCCTGATATTTGTTATTCAGCTGAAAAGAAAACACGTCAATGCCCTATACTCTACAACWGAACCATATAATTGCATATCCCGACGCAGYAAAGAAAAAAGAAGACAAGGATTCTCACTTTGTTTCGCATATCATAAACATAGGACTCGACAGCATTCTTCTTGTCCTTGGTCTCCTCCATAACTCTGTCTTGCAAAGCCATCTCAAATTCTTTCTCCACAGCCTTTTGGATCTCCACAGATTGCAATGCACCGTAGACCAATTCTGACAGGGGTACATTTGTTTTCTTCACTTTCTTCTTTGGAGCCTCGGCCTGCAATCCCATTAATAATACCAATTATTTTTAGTCTACGAGCGAATGAATAGAGCAAGCACTATCAGTTCGGTAAAAAAATTAACCTTTGAATCAGTTTCCATTTGCACCGGCTTATCAGCAGATTCACCATTGTCTGTACCAGCTGCATCAGTGGGTTCCTTCGCATCCTGCATGTTAACATCAGAGTCACCAGAAGCAGGAGCTTTGTCAGTGTCCATCTTAGTGGTTTCCTCCGATTGTTCTTTTGAGACCGGAACCTCAACTTCGTCCTCTTCCAAAAGCTGCAATGAGGGAAGCGAGAAAATTAGTATAAATTTAAAGATCTTCATGTTTGTAAGGGAAGGAACGGCTCTGAGTGATCAATTTGCAATCAGTTATAAGAGAGAATGAACCTTCCCCTAAAGAACCAATTGCAGTGGATGATAATAATAGTTACAGTAAAACACCCAAAAACTTACAGTTGCTGATTCAACAGAGACTATTCCATGCAAATTCAATCTCACTTTCACTTTAAGCTTTGCCCTCTCGCCTTTAGATGACTGGAAGGGACCAATCTGCAAAAAGGAGATCAACTATGAGAAAGAAACAAGAGCGCTACAGTCTTAAGCAGTCATGACATCGGTGGAAGTCAAACCGTGTACGTGCTGATTTTTGGTGGTGCTTGCAACTCGGTCACATCACTGTACTGCACATCGACAGAGAATGTTCCAGAACGGTAAAACGTTAGAGCCTTGACACTAGGAATGGGATTTCCTTTGGGGAAAACAATGGTGCTCTGCTGATTCTCAGCTCCTCCATTTTGAGGATCAGAAGCTGCTCCTTTCCACGCCAGTGAAATTGAGAATGGGAAGCTCTCATGAACCTTTAGATGAATAAAAAATCATAATACAACTTATTAGTAGGATAACCTAAGAGTAAAAAACAGTTCTCGAGCTGCTTATAAGTAATAGACAAAAAAACCACATTTAAGCATAGACGCATCACCTGGAATTCGCGAACTTTAAAGGTCGGACTGAGAATGGCACACTGCAAGGCACATCCCCTAGACACACACTCACTTGCATTCATTGTACGCCTGGGCTCCTTGCCAAAAAACTCAGTTAGGATCTTGATGATAGCAGGGACGCGAGACCCTGAGCCTACAACCTCGACCATATGTACATCTTCAACTGTGAGACCCGCATCAGAGAGAGCTTTCTCCAGAGGCCTCTTAACACGTTCCAAAATCGGGATGCTGATCTCTTCAAATTCTTCCCTCTTTATGGCACCCCTAACGTCTTTCTCATCCATCAAACACTCGATATTCAATGGTGCCACAGGATTTGCGCTGAGAACCTTTTTCAGCTTCTCGCACGCAGCCCGGAGCCTAAGACAAGCCTTAGCATTCTGGGAGACATCAATCTTGTATTCCTCCTTGAACTTAGCAGCAAAATGATGGAAAAGAGCTTCGTCAAAGTCCCTTCCCCCCAGCGAGCGATCAAAAGCGTGAGACAAGACTTTGAGCTGCCCTTTTTTGAAGCCTGCAATGCAGACTTGCATGCTTGCATGTCCAACGTCAATGAATGCGACATTGAGCTGTTCAGTCTCGGGCAAATCTGTCTTATAAATACCGTATGCCAAAGCTGTTGCTGTTGTCTCGTGGATCAGGCGCAAAGGATGCAATCCAGCAATTGTCGCTGCATCCAGAACAGCTCTCCGCTGGAGGTCGGTAAAGTAAACAGGAATACCAATACAGCAGTCCACCACTGCTGCACTCATATTCTTCTCGGCAATGCCTTTCAAGTT